CGCTGAGCACCGAGCCGACATCGCCGCTGGATCGGCCGTCCGTCTGGTGCCCGCACCGCCCGGCCTGGACAGCCTGGACCGCCTCCTGAGGGCTCCCGCGCGTCGGCTGGCGAATATGGAACACTGTATCCAGTGGTGAGTGTTGGCAGTACCGCTGGGGTCAGGGGTGAACCCGCTGAGGGAATGACATAGGTGATGAGCGGTGCAGTGGGCGCCGATGTGCGCGCTATCGTGGCTGTTTTGAAACAATAGATTGTCATATTGTTCTCGCCTGCCTGAATAGTATTTGTCACGTCGCCTTTACAAAGTGTTCATGCGAAAAAGCACTCATAATCGTTTAGTGAGTTTGTTTTATCTAAGTTATGCATTGAGGGAACCTGGCATATAATTCGTACCTATTCCTTTCCATGACGGTTGATGGTGTTACGATTGGTGCTGTTACCGTAACATATTCCGATATTTACGTTCCACAGGCGCTTGTTGCGGGTGTCTGCCGTGAGACATTTGCGGGAGCTGTTCGTGCGTCCCTACTTCATCACCAAGAAGACGGAGGTGTCCCTCCACCGCTACATCTACCTCTGCGGCGACCAGGGCGAACAGTTTCACCTGGTGAGTGTCGGCTGGTGATGTAGGTCGATGAAGATCGCAGTGGGTGCTGGAGTGCGTATGTAGGATTATCCCTCAATATGTACGAACAGGACGCTCGGAGTTTGCTTTCCTGTCCAGCGAGCGTTATCTATACACTCGCCATTGATTCTCTTGCCCAGGCAAAAGGCAAATTTGAAGTGAATTTTGATATTAACTATGCGGCTAGTTTGCAAAGCGTGTTTTAGGGATGATGTTCAAATGTTCGTTGATTCCCCAGCGGAGTTACAACCCGCTCACTCTTTTCACCGCCAGCCGATGACCGAATTCGCTAATGTGTGGATCAGTCAGCACAGCGGTACCCGGCGGATTCGGCTGACACCCAGCAGCGAATGCAGTGACATCTGTCGGCCACTGTCGGCACTACTCCGGCCCGGAGAAACACGTGAGTGCAAGGTGCAGGCAGTGGACCGAGTTACGAGGTCAATGCGTCAACGCGTCGCGCGATTGTACTGATAACGATTTGTTCGAGGACTTTGACCCATATGATGGTTATGCGATTGTTACATTACATGACTGTATTGATGACGATGTGCTTCTAAAGATGCAACGCCTTGTACGCCGATTTTCCTCGTTGTAGTCACAGTAATTCTTTGATCCCTTTACCTCGTCAGTGTTCTACAACTGGCGCTACTGGCGGGCCACCTCGCTGTCCGTGGATCCCTCGCTGCTGACGGGGACTACCTCCGCGTGGGATGCCGCCGAGGGCCTCTGTTCTTCAGACACCAGTCCCGCCTCTACCGGCTGGGAGCGGTGGGTGCGTGGCAAATGCCCCAGCTCGGGCAGAGTGTGTCCTCCCGTCTACGGCGAGCGCTCGGGGGAGACGGCAGCTCCGCCGGCCGGTGGACAAGGGTCGGGGGGCGGGGAGGACGCGGCCGCGGTGACGTGTACGGCCGGGGTCAGGGCGGGCGGGGGGATGGATAGCTGTATACGGTCCCCAGGGGTGAGCCCCTCGCCCCCCGAGCCCACCGTTGGCATAACGTTTGTGGGGTCGTTCTACTGAATTGGTGCTCGGGGAAAGTCTTGAACTTAGATAGCTCTTACATAATTTGTTACGCCAAGGCAGCTTACAACGCACAGCTTTATGAATCTAATTATAGCAGGGATAAGTCCATTTTTGTGGACTATTTTAAGTAAGACACTGTGTTGTAATTTGCACTGCCGCTCCAAGCGGCTTGGAAAGGCGTTATGTGTATCTGAGCTTCCACATTACCTTTACCACGGGTGGCCTGTATATGTATTATGTAACCATTTATCTCAGCATTAACCAACGTACGTTCAACACGTACAGGAAATAACGCCAAATACGAGTGTGCCAATCAGCCTAACCTGACAGTCCCAAGACATACCGCAGTCTTCCCCGCGCTGGCTGTGCTATTTTACCTGCACAAGCAATATCGCTTTATATATTGTATGTTTAAACTTAAACGTGTTGATGGAACTGTGGTCAATATGTCGGATGTTCATGTTTTTCGTCATCTCAGCCATGAAAAGAAACTGCGCCGTTTTTATATGATGATTCACTTATTTTTGTCCTCGGTCACAGTGTGGCAACTTCACGTCTCGTCCTCCAGTCAGTCGTTTTTGTTTTGTTTCCAGGGCACATAATGTTTTTATTTGAGTAACATGTTCCCGATATGCGCGTACCCTGGCGTACGTTTTGCCCGCCGCAGTAGAGCTTCGTTTAAACTAAGTCACAATGTGCTAGTCCGGCGTCGTATATTGCTGCTAGTCGCAAATGAAGTCACAAAGTTATGTATTCTGAACAGTTGTTCGAAATGTATTATTTCGCACCGCTACTTGTTAGCAATTGTGACCACTGATATGTGATGTCACGATGCCAAACAAATATATTTCTATTAGCGTCGATCAGTTTTCATGTCACGTATCACGCGGATGCCTTGAAAGAACAGCTGTTCAATTTATGAAAGTTGCCATATCTCTGAAGCGGCACTTGGGGAGGTGGACGTGGTTGTGTAGTGTTCACCTATATTTTGTCGTAACGATATGTGTCATGACCCGCGAGCTAGTCACCTTCAGGAAATCAGGTTGACCGTTTTAATGGGTTTGCTTCCAAATGTCGCAAACTCTTAATCGAATTGGGGACTCCATCTTAACATAAAAAAGATGCGTCGACACGGGGATATATTGGATTGATAACATGTCAAACATCACGACTAGACTCCACGGTCGGCTGGATCGGTCCGGTAACGCCCGACCGACGGGCGATCAACGGTAGCTGAGGTTCACCAATCGCCCCACGCCGAGACTTCCGGGCCATCACAGGAATGGGGTGTTGTGGGGCGGCTCGCAGGACACACTGAGAGTGCCCGCGAGCCGCCCACACGGGACCGGAACACAATGCACACGCCGCGATAGACAATGGTGTCAATGATTACCCCTCGGCGAACAATGACACTGAACGAGCCACGGTGGTGCGAGCGACATTTGGAGTCCACAAGACAATGCGCCAACTGCCAAGTCAAGACACATGACCGTATCGCGTTTTACGATCGCGAGCCTCGAGTGGACAACCAGTCTTTATCAGGCAGACCACTGAGCACATCCACAGGACATGATGAACATGCATTATACACGCATCACACGTCCAATACATGTCTTGATAATGGCGATACCAACCATTCAGCGCATTACTCGTATAACGCAGGGCGTGGCCCAACTCAGCATTGCGACTTCCGACGACGTTGTAAGCCGGACATATGTGGTGCCCCACTCACCACCGGCATTGCTACTGGCCTTTGAGCACACCGGACACTGCTGTACGATGGCTCGATTATTACCCGGTTTGAGCACGGAATATATAGTCTACGACATTCCACACGCAATGTCGTAGACTATACCGGGTGGCCCAAAAAAAACGTTCCGAACTTTGGAGGCATATATCTCAAATTTGAGTGCAAATAACGAGCCAAAATTTTCATCAAGTTTGCGTCACTTCTTTGCGCATTGGTATGCCAAATTATAACACTGTACCATCATTTTCAAGCCAGCAATCTTATGTTGAATGAAGTAAGACGTTTTTGCTTTTTTTGCCGTTGTTGAACGGAAGTAATTATTGGCTTAGACGTACCATGTTAGAAAAGATACAAAAAAAATAGAACGGCTTGAATGATACCAGCACGTGTGTTGCTATTTTTTCTTTTTTGTCACACTTATGTGCTAAATATTCAAATACTAAGCCAAAGTTGTGTTAATGGATGCCATTCGTTTCAACACAAGTTCTGTTTCAAGGCGAAGGAGTGTCACGGTGCATGGGTTACTGCTGATCGCCCTCCCTTCAAGAAGATCAAATAGTAAATCGACCGAATAAGGAAAAAAGCTAGAGAGAATGTGTCACCCTGAGGCCTGAACCACCAATGAGACTAGCTGCCAGTAGCAGTCATGGCTGTAGGCCGTGGTGCCGAGATGGAAGTGGCCCGTTCACTCACATTTTTGGTAAGCATCAGAGCAAAAAAGTGATTTTTACATGGCATGCTAGAAACACGAACCGTTTAAAAAGTAATTGACCGAATAACATAAAAATCACACCATTTACTGAAAATGTGTGCCGCATTGACTATTCGAAGTTTCAATGTTGTATCTTTATCACTTTCTAAGAAATATTGATTTAAAGTTGGGAACGTTTTTTCTGGGCCACCCGGTATATTCCGTGGTTTGAGAAAGGGAATCAAATAATGCTCTATTTTCACGCTACATTAATTTTATTACCATGAAAAGCTAATATGTTCGCACATTTCGATTATGATAAATGTAGGATTAAAACAAAAGTGAGACAAAAAAATCAGCCTAGAGGCGGCTGATGCAGCAAGTAATTTTTCGCAGTCATCGGCGTGTAATAATCGCAACGAATTTAGATTATCACTGATTGCCTAGCACAGAAAAAACGGCATTTCAAACAAGTGTCTAGCATCGGTGAAGCCTGCAAAGAATCAACACTCTATGGTGATGAGCAATAGACGGTTGCCGATACTCGGTAACTTGTCTTTGTTCGAAACAATAAAACCTGCATTATCATGGGTCCAGCCATACATGAATGGCTACGGAAGACGTTAAATAACCACGTACGACTGATAATAGATATAGCATACATTACGATATGCGTGCAGCTGCAAAGGGTGTTAACTAATAAAATACAGGACCTTGTGATAAATAAGAACACGAAGACCACCTTCTCACACTTCCGTAAGCACGTACACCGCACACAGAAAGGTACCAAAGTATACCAATGATTGATTTGGTAGTGTGTATGAATCCAAGGCGGTCAGCAGATCATTATGATCATTGGTGATCTTTAACCAACAAATTTACGCTATTTAAAAAAAAAAAAAATCAAACACAGTGACTCGTGCTGGCATAGACGGAATGTCTGTCATAAGTACCTTTAAACGATAATATCGCAGATCCCACGCAAACTATCACAATCAACACATTGAAGAGTAAATATCGCACAAAACACCTGTCTCAATCAACACGCCGTGGGGTCCATCAGAACGCCTATCGTAGAACACAACACCAAACGACCTACCCACTGCACCCCACACATCAATGCCGAATCTCGGAGCACCCACACTCCCTCACAGCGGTGGATATAGCCTCTGGCATGACACGATAACGTGCTGCCCCATCGACACTTTCACTGGTGGTGTCGCGTATCACGTGACCACCTTCCCGCATGTCCTAATGAATGTCCTACAGCGCCGGCTGCGTTCGACGCCCCGCCGAATGAACTCGATCGTCCCGACTTGGGCTCCAGCGAGCCGCCGTTGTTGCTGTCGCACCAGCCAGCACGTGCACCCGGCTCGTCCGAGAGGATCTCCGACGGGGCCAAATGGTCCGGTGGGTCACTCAGGGTCCTCGAGGGACCGGATCGGACCGCCAGAGCTCGGGCACGGTCCGCTAGACCGAATGAGGACCAGGTTTGGCCTCGTGGTCCAATAGACAGCCGCGATTGGTTCATTACACCTAGCGACGGCTGCGATTGGCCCATCAGCCCGAGCGGCGGACGTGATTGGCCCATGGCACTTAACGTCGGCCGTGATTGGCTGAGAGGAGCAGCCGACTGTCGTGACAGGCTGATCGCACTAACAGACTGTCGCGGCTGGCTCACCAGACCCCCAGACGACCGCGAATGCTCTCCGACGCTCTCGGACGGCCCTGACTGGTCCTCTACGCGGGACGCAACCGCCGACCGGTGCGACTTACCGGGCGGTCGGAACAGCCGGCGGCCGAAGTGCGCCAAATGCTAGTCGAACCGCTGTTTCAGCTTCTGTTTGAAGAGGATGGGCACCAGCGATAGGCAGGCGAACACGGCCAGCCAGACGACGGATGACCAGGAGACGGCGTCGGACGAGGAGGTGAGCTGCTGCAGCGTCGTGCCGCCCTGAATCGCCACGAACGACGGCGGCGCCACGCCTGCCGCCGGGGAATGGACGAGCCGGTCAGCGAGGGAGCCATGTGAGACTGGGCTGGTTAGATTCTGAGTAACGTAACCAGATTAGGCTGCTACATAGGCTCCGGTTTGATTGTGAATGCCACACTAACCTGAGATTAGGTAACTGTGGGTCAGGACCTATGAGGAGTGGTAGATATTTCATTCACATAACAATTCAATCGCAGAATAAATCATTAAGCAATAGGCAACACCACTCAGTTTAAATTCGCATAAAAAGATACCAAAGCCAGCCTGCCGTCAGCGACTGTAAACGCTGCCGATATGAAGAAATTATCAAAACGTATTACTCAATGCACATACTTTTCGGATATCACGGCTAGTTTCATCCCTGTCACTCAGTCAGTCAGTCATATAACGCAAGTGGTCCCTGACCTATGAACGTTCCGATGAAGAAGGGCGTCAGCGGCACCTCGATCACCGGAGACGTGATGTTGATGAACCAGTTGGGCAGGAACGGCGTGATCCGCAGGAAGATGATGTAGTTCAACAGGTTGTCCTTCTGATTCGCCACCTGAGTTTTAGAAGACATGTCAGCACTGTCAGCAGATTGGTACGATTGTATAGTGACTAATGTATACCTTACTAAGTCACAGAACGAACAAGGACCAAAAATGTTCCTGCTTTAGATCATTCCGGCGAAAGAAAACGAGTACCAAACGATGATATAATCGTAGACAAAATAGGTGAGAACTAGCATGACTTAAATCGGCAACAAAAACGTGTGTGAGCTGCATAAAACAAATATCTGCTTTGACAGACGCCTTGGATGCTCTAAAACAACACGACCAGACCTATGCCAAAACCATGTGCTGGTATGACTCATCGCTTCCCAACCCTTCGTTGATTCAGCAGCAACAATAACAATCCAGCCCCACCCCGCTGCAGACTGTGCCCACCTTGAGCGCCCATTCCTTGGCCTTCTCGGGGAAGTACTTGTGCACGATCTTCCTCCCTGCCATGTAGGAGAGCAGGTAGCAGAAGGAGGCGCCGGTGGCCGAGCAGAAGCAGACGAGCACCAGCGCCGCCCAGAACGGGAACAGGAAACCCGTCAGGATCGACAGGAAAATCGAGCCCGGGATGGCGAACGTCTGCAGGCTGTGACATCACGTTAAGGAAATACCGTGACGAACGAACATAGCCGCGCACAAACGGTACAGCGAACATAGCCACTCAAACAGACCGCTTGCGATCAGAATTGGACAACAAGATGCAGTTTTTGAGGAATTTTTATGTGATACTTGTGTGATGATAAATGCACAAAATTCATAATGGAAATTTAGCTCAATGCTGAGCGAGATACTGCGGACTGTAGAGGCATTAGGCTGCTTCTAACCATCAAAAGAAACAAGCGAAGTATTATTTTTATGTCAACTCCCTCTGAATAGTTCAAAGGTGCAAAGCTCCAACACTTCCTCAAAAAGGATACAATATGTATGTGATGAAGATTCCTGTCATAACTTCAAAGTAATATTGCTCCTTGTAGATGCTGAGAACCTTCCCCAGTCTCTTTGCATCTTCAATGTCTCTTGGCAGTTTAAAGTCTTGTTTTTCCTCTCTGCAAAAAAGGTAACACTGTTACTGCAGGGCGCTAATTGGCAGTCACATTAACCACTGGCGACATAATTGTTATTCTTGCTAGGTAGGTAGGTAGTTAGTTAGGTAGTTAATAAGTGAACGTACACCTACAATGAACTGTAACACTGCATATCTGAACATAAATGCATTTCATTATTTCAACTCTCAATCTCAGCCAGTCTGCAGACTGCAGAGCACAGATTGTAGCACCTTGCACTCTCTTTTATAAGAAGCACTTATCCCTTCCAAGAATACTGACACTCCTAAAATAGGTAATGTGAACAAATGTGCAAATCACAAAACAAAACAAATTGAATGTACAGCAAAAACATAACTGAGTGTCAATTAAGTTAGCTTTTTCTTCCCAAATGACCAGAAAATATCCATCATTTTCAGATTAGCTTTAGTTAATCTCCTAACATTGAATATCTCATATCAGCTGAAATGAGAAAATGATTGGCTGGACTATGGAAGTTTTAAAAAATATATTAAAAAATGATAGGTACTTACTCAGTCATTTCTGGAAATATTGTATAAACATAGGCTAGGCATAGAAGTGATGTGACAAAGATGCCTCCCAGCACAATGAAGGACTGGCGGGTGCTAGAAGCTGCCTGATGATGCATGATTATCACTGGCTTTTTTCTTGAGGTGCCTAGTCTGAAAGAAAAAAATAGTCAGTGACAGCTGGGGCATACATAAATAAAAAGCACTAATCTCAAGTTATTTACACTCATGCTGTGCTTGCACCACCAGTGACTTGCTGACAGAAATGACTTGCTGTTGATGCAGTGGCTAGCATGGATCTGATTTAGCTTAGCTGTGTTAACTAAAACACAAAAAAGCAGAAACAAGGTACATCTAAGGCGACTTTAAGAAAAAAAGCTGCAGAATGCAGTTATTTTTAGGGCTTGTAGGCAACCCAGAAGTCACAAGTTAAAGCTTCACCAGCCATAAAACACTGATGTAATGTGCAAACATAAGTGCAATATTTGTTAACAAAATTTATCCTTAAAAGCCAGTGTTGATCCCAGCTTCAGTTTTACGGTAAACGTTTGGGGAGATGGCCTGAGGGCAATTAGCTGGAGATCTTAACACAAATTGCAACACTTTTTCTATATCAGGATTTTTGAATTTATAAAGCGTGTTTATTATAAAACTACGTAGATGATGATGATTGGGTTTGATTGCGTGCCCAACCTCTCTACGTAGGCTATTACTTTTTCAAGTCGTATTACACAATTTTTGGTTATTTAGTGACAGGCTCTGCAGCAGGCCCCGAGGCTACCTCTCCCAAACGGTCACCCAGTTTTACCAGGCAGCTAGCAGACAGGCATCAAATTAGCTGCAATTTTATCAGTGGTTGAAACTTGTTACTTGTATGCAACTTTATACCAAAACAACCAAAACTGCCAACTTCTTTAGCAAATACCTAAAATTTGTTTCCATTGGCTGAGCCCAGGGGAGACGTACAACACACTTTCCCTATCCTGCAGCACAAAAATTGACAAATGATACGGATACCCAACCATTCTTTTGCCACAAAGATACTTACTAAATAATTCTTATAATGAAAAATTTACTTCAAATTAGGTACCTACTAATTATAGGAAGAGAGGGCAACTGGCAGAACCAGTGGAGCTTTCATTAATCATTATTCAGAGCAACTTTTTGGAAGTATGCATGCAATCTCAAGCTACTTTTCTGGGTCCACCAATGTCAGCATCTCAGCATAAATTTTGCCCACACACCCCATTTTGACTTAATGCATGCATCTTTGAGCAGCACAGATTCCCCTCTTCAAAAGAACTTAAACATTAAAAAAGAACATTAAATGATGGTAGCAAAATAGTCAAGTTATCTTGATTGATACTCGATAGTCACAGACTTGGAATAGATCATAATCTCGAAAACTTTAACCTGACCCTTGCAAAAGTGTCAAGCCAATAAAAGCAAAGAATAAAACCCATCATTTATATCAATATTGATATCAAGGCCACCACAACCATGGCCCACAGTTGTGAGTAAATGCCCAGTTTTGATCAGTGTTGCTGGTGTTGTCAAAACCAAGAGTCTCTCCTCATGCATTACCACAATTATTTAGAGAGTCATTTTGACAAATTATTTTCATAATACCTTTAAAATGATAATTTTCACAAGGCACTTTGACTTTGCTACCGTGTCAAGGAAAAACATAGTAAGCGCCAATGTAAACAAAAATGAGTTAGAGATGCTAACGGGGGTTTTCGGGACCGGCGGATTCGTTTCTGGTATCGCTTTTTTCATAACTTTCTCCAAAACTGAGATATTAAAGGGGTAGAATATAGCAAGTCCAGTGGCGTCTTCCGTTTGGCAAAGAAAAACACAGCATGTGACAAGTTGCTGCATGCTAGGTTTTACCTCGACCAAAGAGACCTGAACATCCCATTTTGCGCTTATGTGCATTGTGATAAAGCGTTGCGTACTAGGTTCTCGCCCATTCGCGACTTCCGCGCTTTAGGAAGCCCACTCCCCTGGTTGGGTCTGTCTGTTACTGCTGGCTAGTGGCTACATGAGCGAGCTTGATGGCACATCAAGGTTGATGCATGTAGCAACTTGATGTGCTCTAGAAAACCTTAACTTCGCTTCACCGCCCCGGAGTCCCTATTGCAACTTATCAGTGTGAACCCTGATTTTTGAACTGTGGAGAGCCACACTGGCAAACTTTCGCGGTGTCCTTGAGCGGGCCGACATCTGCTGCGTGCGCCGAGCCGCCGAGCCCTGTTGGTACGAGTGGCAGGGGTGCCGGATCCAGTATCCCTGCGCCTCTTCCTGACGTTCCTGAGGAGTTTCTGAGGGACCCAGTGCCTAATCTACGTCTGCCTCTGCGATACCGAATACGTCTAAAGAGCACGATATCAGGGTGTGTGTGAAGTGCGTTAGTGGGATAAACCATTTTGATTTGGGTTGTGTTGAAGTATCGCGAGAGATACTGATGCATGCCGAGGCACTGTAGTCAGCCAGCATGATGATGAGATGGCGTACACTGCAGATATGCAGGTGTAATTTCTTTTAAAAAATGACCGAGTGGCCCTGTTCACGGGGCTCGGCGGTCAGCCGCGGGATCTATGGCCACGGGTAAACGCCGAGCTGCAGCTACGGCAGGTGCCCGTGAACAGCACTGGTGAAAATCACTTCTTCATGAGCCGTCTGGTCCATAGGCGTAGGAACAGGGGGGGGCGGAGCCCCACCCACTTTTCAGCCTTTTTTAAGGAAAAATCTTCATTTTTGATTTAAATACAAAACTAAGAGCAGGAAATGGTTCAGCAAGGTAAGATGAGCACAAAACTACAAAGAATTTCTTCATAGGGGCATTCTTGAAATGACAACTGTTTCAGTTTTGTTGACAACCTATTTCATAGATAAAGCACATCTGGCACAGAAAAACGTAGTAAGTAACCATGCTAGGTTTTTCCCTCTTCGTCCAATGCCACAGCTAATCTAGCAAGTCCACATTTACATTATTGGTAAGCATTTGAAAAATTTGGATAGCATTTCTGAATTGCGCACATAAAATACATATAGAAACACTATTCAGGTTGATGCATGTTATGCGCATTTGCTTAGGCTAGCACACGTTCACGTTTCCTCGTTTTTCTCCGTTTCGTCACCTTGACACTTACTAGGTTCTTCAAAAATAGGGTAGTTTGACTTGCAAGGGACAACAAAAACCGTGAAAAGCATTTATGTCGCAGCTGCGGCTAGTTTGTATTCACAACAAACGACGTTGACGAGTGATACCAGATCACATGAAGGAAATCCTCTGCCGGTGTTTTGTCCTTTCTTTTCTGGCCATCTTTTACCTTGGTTTATTTTTTTAGCTTTATTTTAGGATGCACTGTTGGAAAATTGCGTTGAAGCGTGTGCATCAATCCTGCTAAATCGTTAATCGCCTCTTCAAGAGCTAATAAAGGTGCCAACTGCAAAGTGCAAGCTGCCATGAAATAGGAGGCGCATCACGGTAGGTACGTTTTCCCAGCAGCATCACTCTACTCGCGGCTTACGCAAAGCAGCTTGTGTCTCAGACGTAATTTTAGCACCCCTGGAGCACTATTACATGGTGACTGATGAATTTCAGGGGGTGCTCGAGCACCCCCAAAACCCCTAAGGAACGGGGCCGGGGGATTTTTAAAAGTTATACGAGTGATAAATGCCAAATGGCGAGCAAAATAAAAGGACTCGAGACTGGATGGAAAGCTATGTTTTGCCTAGATTGGGGTCATAAATATGTCTACCAGATTGAAAGTAATACCTATTTGAAACCAATTTTTATCGGGGTAAGAGCATATTCATTATTCGGCACTTGGCACAAATGCGTCTTTTGACGAAAGAGGCGTAGAAATGTCCATGATTCCTTCTTTGAAGACTTCTATAGTTTCATTGCTTCCCGCTGGAAGCTGAACAGCTTTAAAACCAACAGTCCCATGACGTAAAAATATTTTTCGCAGATAGCTACGTTTAGGTAGTATCAGTCACGCTAGCATAGTCTGAGAGAGAAAAATGCATCATGCTCGCCAGTCACCACGTTGTAGCGAGCAGTGCCAGCGCACTTATATGCATCGCATATTAGCAATGACGGCATCCCGCAGGCCATGACCATAGGCGTGGGGGGGGGCAGTGAGGGCAGCTTGCCCCCCCCCCTCCCAACTCTGGGGCCGTGGGGGCGGTGCCCCTGCAACTTTGAGACGAAATACCGTACTTTTATGCAAATGTTTTCTTTTTTGTTGAAAAAGCCAAGGGATGAAAAATAAATGGCCTAAAACCGGTGAGAAAACTACATCTCGGGCTACTCTAGGCTGATCTCTATTATGGTGTGCCCCCCCCCCCAATCTGACAATAGTTCCCGCGCCCTGGTCACGACTGACTCGTGCGGCAAGGTATGGCAGGCTAGCTCTCACCGAGGTGGCTGTGATGCCTCCGAGGTCAGCTGATTATCCAGGGTAATCACCACCGATCGCTCCATGGTTCCACGGGTCACCACTCGGCGGCACGCGAGACGGCCGAACACTGCCTGTGCACGCCGTTCACCCCTGGACTGTCTCAGCCGGGCGTAGTGCCGGACACCGCGACGTCCGCGACTCAGCCGACCCGGTGCGCCGTTTACACTCCTCGGACCGAGATTCGCCGCCGACCACTGACACCAGATAAGCTCAGAAGTGGAGGCTCGATCGGAGCCCACACCTTGAACTTTAGCCTGGCACCGCCGCCGCTCGCGTGGCGTGCTTTGCTGATCTAAGTAAACAACGAGGACGTCGCCGGCAACTGAAATGACCGCTGGACATTATAAAGCCCGCACTACGGACAAGCGGCAGAGCGCAGATATATGTATACCGGGAAGATTCTGCTCTGAACTCGACTGCAGGCTACACCAGGCTACACAACGTTCGCCCACATTCAAGCACCGCCGCGCACCGCTACGTTGTTCTTATTTTACACATAAACATGGTAGTTTTAGACCGACAGGCCCGTGTTGATATTATGATACCGAACGCGCTGTAGGTGGGTGGGTGGGGGGGGGAGGGGGGCGGCACCCCGACATTCGCTACCATCCTTACAAAACCGACTTGATCCGGTCAGCAGTGCCGAAACCATCGATCCCAACTACGCTTGTCGCATAATGTTAACCCGGCAGTTGCTGGGGTATTTCGCCACCCACCGTTTGCTGGGGGGGGGGGGGGGGGCGTTAAACGCCCCCAGCCGATAACTCGAGAACCAATAGGCGCAGCGAAACGCACGAGGCGGCAAACGAAAGAGCGCGACGAGACGCTTCAGATGAGTACTTTAAAGTTGAATTTTGAGGTCACAGGTCGGGTCAAGGTCAGGTCAAACACCTGAAATCGGGCTTTCAGTAGCATGGACTTCAGGACTTCGCAATGGGCGCCTCTCGCCATAAACTCTGTCAAAACGGTGCACAATCCATCTCATAAGGCCTACAAGAGTGTCAGCTTCATATAGGGGTCAGTCAAGCATAGGTCAGGGTCAAGGTCAGGTCAACCGGGTTGGCACATATCCCCGAAAATCAAAACTGATATTCGCAGCCTGTGACACATGTTTTATAGGTAATTTGGGGCGTAAAACACGATGGTGACATTCATTTTATCATATGTGTACGTGTTTGGCTCAAAAAGTTCAATTTAAGAAATTCGTGTATCATGGTCGTAAAGAAGTCACGAAAAATTGCCAAGATTCAGTTCAAGATTTTGGAAAATGCGGAACGATAATCAATAATCGAAGATAGCCATTTGATTGATCATGGTATTGGCAGTCTAATGGCGTTTACGGCATGTCTGTATGTCTATTCTGTGATTTTATATGATTTTTTGAACATATGCCGTTTTTGGTCGAAAAGTCAGAAATCATGACGTCACTAAAACCTCGATATCTCAAAAATTTTCCGACCGATTTTTTTGAAACTTTGTCACAATAAACTTCAATCAATTCCCTACAGGTACCCAAAATTTGGCGCGCCTGCGGCGCGCCGTTTTTATGCTATGGCCCGGCGAAAAAAGTGGGGGCGTTTAACGCCCCCCCCCCCAGCAACTCGCGGGTTAATGTCAGAAGACGATGAAAGGAAATAAATGTCAAAAATGAGGGATGAGGATCTCATCGGCTTCCTAGATCCCTTAGTCGCCGTTTCGCCTCAGCTACTGAGCTAGAGTCTCGCAGAAAGCAACGAGTGCGCCGTTACAAGACACAGCGATTGGTAGCCAATTTAAGGTCTCAGCCCTCAGGTCAACCGGTGTCATCTGAGGCCAGGCCCCAAGGTCATTAGGTACTTCGTCAAAAATAATCGCAGAGCCACAATTTTGGCACCATCGTGCTCTTCACGCTCAGGCGCGTCGAATGAATGATATACTTTTCATACTTTTATACTTTTGGTGTACTTTTTACAATTTTATTCGCGTTCTTTTCACCAGACGCGGTGTCGAATGATTTGCTTTTTTGTTTGGATGAGGTCAACTAGGTGTTGACTGTTGAGCTCAGGTCAAGGTCAGGTCAGAGCCACTCGGTCGCGAAGCTGGTCGAAGGAGGTCACATCACAAATCATTCGCAAGCCTTTTCTCGAGTCCATTGGTGGCTTTCTCGACTCGCAAGCTCAATTTGTTCGGGCTTTATTGATGCGAAACTCGATGACGGGGCTGTGCGAATACGGCCACACGGACACCACCGCGCACGAATGTACGTAGGTACATACCCATTGCTCCTGTGGAGCCTACCTACCTAACCACGTCAGATAAAGGCATGACCCGTGACCGTATAGTCGACTACAGAATGATGTTCCACTCCTCAGAAGGCAGAAGCTATCAGTTAACCGCGGAGCGCTAAGTTGTGCCGTTTATCACGCAATTAAGCTTGTCGATTGTGACCATTGAGACAAAGCTATAATTTGTGAACTCAGCCCGTGTGATGCGGCACAGCCTACCAAGCCAGGCAAATAATGGTATGTGAAAAGTGGAACATCATTCTGTAGTCGACTATATACATAGCTGAGCACGGGATTTGAGACAGGGGTGAGGAGCCGGCTGCCGGAGCCGCCGGAGCCGGCACGGGTTAGGGGTTTTGGGGGTGCTCGAGCACCCCCTGAAATTCATAGGTCAGTGGTCACCATACAATAGTGCTCCAGTGGCTGCCTAAATTACATGGGTGTAGTTTTCCAAAAATCATTGGGGGTGCTCAATAGCTTTCAGAAAGCCATGCCATAGTTTTTGTAGTTTTTTTAGCTGTTCTTTTTTACTGTAGCCATCAGGCATCATGCAAGAAATGATGTTAAATCGGTTCGAGAGCTTGTTTTAATAGCGCCACTGTAAAACAATTTTGGCTCACCCAATGCATTAACCCGCGCGGGGCTGGGGTCTCCAGCCGAACGCTTGGGGCTGGGGTCTCCAGCCGAACGCGCGGGGCTGGGGGGAGGTAAATTTTACCCCCCTGTTATCTCCCGAACTAATGGTCCGATTTGGAAAATTCAAACGCCAATCGAAAGATCTCATCACGAATACCTAAAAACATGTACTTAATTTAAAGTTTGAGCTCAAGGTCAAGGTCAGGTCAAGGGTACAAATTGCAAGTTTCTACAGTATCGGCCTTGCACCGTAGTTGCCGAAGAATGGAGTCATGGACTGAGACTGATTGCCCAAAACGTGTTTGGGCCTGACCTTGGCCATAAGTTTGGCAGGCCAGATTTTGTACTGGACCATTTTGAGTCAACTTTGAGAAATACATAACGTACAACGGTGGTAAAATCGTTGCTATATGTATAACACAGTTTACCCGCTCCGGGTGTGAGGGAGGGGTGTGGGGCAATGAGTACACTGACGTGGCGCCCTCGGAGGGCCGGTATGGGATTAAAGCTCAGCTGCACTAAGGGCTTGTGTGGTGCCTTCAGTTATCGGTGGCACCCTCAGAATCACCGGCGTAGGGCCCTCAGAGCCGCCGGTAAGGGAGGCGCCGGTGTGGGGCCGCCATGCAGGTGCCGGTGTGGGCGATCAGAGGTGCTAGTGTGATTCTCTCAGAGGCGCCGATGAGGGTCCTTACAGGCGTTGCTCCGGGCCCTCATAAACGCTGGTGTAGAGCCGTTACAGACTGGTGTGGGGCCTTTAGAGCTGCTGACGCGAACTGTCTACAAGCCGGCAGGGGTCTCAGTGACCGGCAAGGGGTCCTTAGGGCCTTAGGCCGGCAGAAGAAGTCCTGCGGGGTCCTAAGAGACCGGCATGGTACTGTCAGACGCCGGTGGGGCCCTCAGGGTCACCGTTGTGGGGCCCTCAAGTCATCAGTGGGTGGCCTTTAGATGCGCAGGTGTTGGATGGGTCCTCAGAGCCGCCGATATAGGGCTTTAACCCTCGCCCGTATAGGGGGGGGGGGTCGAACGGACCCCCCCATGGTTTTTCGCGAATAACTCGCGTAAAAAGCGGCCGATCGCGACGAAACTTTCAGTACCCTCGCGTTCATCAATTTCACACCTACCCTGAAAATTTCATGACCCTGACCCAAATGACCTTTGACCTGTGACCTACTTTTCGAGACCATGTTTGGCTGGAATCGCGATTCGGCGTATGTCGGCTCGCATTAGCCGCACGTTTGAAGTCTTTTCGTGGTTTCAAGCGTTCAAACATGTGATATGATGAACGCCATGCATTAGGGTGGGTGTCATAATACCCCATGCATTAGGGTGGGTGTCAAGGTCATCTGAAGGTCAGGTCAGGTCATTGACTTTTGATGACCTCGGTTCACTTTTTCGAGTTTTACATGTTTCTAGGCCAGTTTTTGGAGCTGAATTCGAATTTAGCAGCCATATGAACATTTACGAAGTAGTTTTGGTGCCTTCGTAACATGTTACGAAGCTGTCAGAGGCGGTTGCCACCCACTACGAATACCCTTACTGGTTGACCTGACCTGACCTGACCCGACCTGGCCTAAATACATGAAGACATCATCTGTGATCAAAACTAACATGATATTCGTGATCAGCACCCCGAAAAATCCCATAGCAGCCACACTTTACGACGTTCTAACAGGTCCCGATTTTCCCGCCTTTGGGGTCATTGACCTGACCTGCAAGGTCAACCAATGACCTAGGACCTTAAAATTGGGTATCATCAGCTTCCTCTCGTCACGGGCAACACGCTCGTTTTTTCCGCTAAGCTCTAGCTCGATCAGGGGCGAAACGGCAAGGGGGGGGGTCCAACGAACCCCCCCCCCTTATACGTTCGCGGCTGGAAAAACACCAATACGGGCGAGGGTTAACCCTCAGCGGTCAAATGGCGCCGCAGGGCCTCTCGGACCCGAGGGTCCCTTTGAACCCGATGGGGGGAGGGGGTACGTGTCTCCTTAGACCCCTAGCTATGCCACTGTTTCATATGCATCATGTCAGGTATTTTAGGCTCCCCCCAACTTGAAAATCGTTCCCGGGCCCCTGATAATATCAGATGTAATGTTAACACAAATATCATGCATCTTAATTTGTGGTGATTTATTCAATGTATATTCTCTTAGTCACTGAATTGAGTAAGCATAGTATTTGCATGATTCACTGGGCTCATTACAGTACTAGGAGATGGACATTCTGATTATTGAGGGCCTTGAGTCAGCTGGGAATGTTTTGAGGAGGCTGGGGGTGCTTTAAGAAGGCAGGGGGTGCTGAGCTCAGGATTGGGGGTGCTTGAGCACCCACAAAGAGATATAAAGTTACGCTTATGCTAAATTACGTCTGAGAAACAAACTGCTTTGCGTAAGCCGCGATAAGAGTGATGCGTTTGGGAAAGCGTAGGTACTTACAGGTATATGCTTTTCTACGCAAAAATTCGACGCTTCCATTCGCAATGTGCTGAAAAGCACCCCCTGGGATTATGACAATTCTCCGCCCCTGGGAGCCGGCATATTTTGCCCGGAGCCGGACCCGGAGCCGTGAAAACTGAAACAATATAGCCCGGAGCCGGAGCGGTCAAAAATGGCCGGCACTCTGGCTTCTTTTTTTTGAAGAGGAAAAATTATTGACATAGTTCGGTTTGACAGGTCAAGGCAGTAAAACATCCGGTATTCAAAATATGATAATAGCCTTGTTATGCAAATACAGAAGCAACGTGCACCAATCCCATCGTAAATTTTTTCTTCCACCCGATAGGGGGTGTACTGAGTATTGGAGCCGGAGCCGGAGCCGGACCATTTTACTCGGAGCCGGAGCCAGAGCCGGAGCCGTCATGGCATTTCACCCGGAGCCGATTTTTTTCTCCGAGCGGCGAGCCGGAGCCGGAGCCTCTGAAATTTCCACGGCTCGGCATCCCTGCAGAAGGATCTGAACTGAATGTCACCTGAGGATGGGAAATGACGTAACGGTGGTGGATAGCTACTCTATTGAAAGTGAATGCGAATGTCCCGAGTTCCCGACCCGTGTTGAAGTATCTGTCAGAAGTCTCTCCCTCCCGCCTCCCGGTCTCCCCATCCCTCCTCGGTGATAAGCTGTACTTAATGTTATAGCTTTTGCCGCTAGATGTCATCATAGTAGGTCTCTGTTGAAAGCTGCTAACAAAAAGCATCGCTATTTTCAAATCCTCTCTTGTGTCTCAGCTATATGATAAAAAATGCAATGAAAATTGGTAAATACATTTATCAAACATACAAAGTCATACTTACAATATCCAAATTACTTGCCGAGCAGCGAAGCAGCTTGCCTGCAGATCTGCGGATGAACACTAAAGAGGAGAGAAACTAGACTTTCGTCCATACTCTTGACAAAAGACAACAAAATGCAGCTATTGACATGCATTGACCATTTATTGTTTGAAATAGTTAATCAACCACTACGGTAAGATCTTTCTAAATCCATCCTATTTCGTTGTACCAGCACTATATTCATTACGTTAACATTCCTGACGTCTGATTCGCTAGCGCTGGCGGGGCATTTGAAGATCGACCAATCAGGAGCCGAGTATTGGCCCGTTGGCTTTCCACGCAGCGTATGCCCGGCTGTTGTGCGGCGGAGGCTCCATAGGGTTGCGTGTTAATTTTACTGCGGAGAAAGGCATCAGGTAAGTGAAATTTTACATTATACCACCTGTTTTTATTTGAGCATACGATATTTCAATTATTCGTCTACCCATATGCACTGTTTTGGTTTAGTCTGTGATGAAGTTCCTATTTTATTTCGGATTTTTCTTCAAGGGGAGACGCTGGACACCACTCCCATTGCGTTAGCATGGCTGCCATTGTGAAAGCGACGGCCAAGCCGAGGGTGTTTTTGTTTTTCGAATTTCTTTTGTTTGAGATGAATTTATGTGTTCCTAGATTTAAGGAAGATAGTTTCGACATTTGTTGATCTGGTGAAGGCATTTTTGAATGTGGGCAATGCTATTTTGCCGGAATATTCCTGCCCGAACGGGGTCCCCCAAACCGGTCGAGCTTGCTGTTGGGCATTGGGAATCCATCGTACGTGGGCCTGTCGGGCCGTGGTCGGGCCTATGCCATTGCCTCCCATGCTTTGGCTATTGCCGTAGCCGTGCTGGGTATATTGGATACGGAATATAATGCACCCAGGTGAACGGCAGGGGATCGGATGGGTTTTCCGCGGTTGAGGTCGTATCTGAGCGTTCGTGAATGGCGTCTGCCGACATTTTCTTTGTTCAAACAATGAGAAAATAACATTTTTTGTACGATCGCCGGGGGTACCCTGGCACCATGCCTCTGTGGCCCTGTGCTCACCCGTTTTGCTTGTGATATTTTAGGTTTTTGGGTGGAGTATGGGTGTTATTCAGTCTGTCTAGCCTGTGCAAGGTCAGCTAGCGCAACATTTTCCCGAGAATCCAACATGGCGCTGTCGGGGCTCGGGCTGTGACGAGCGTGAGCCGGCGCGGGCCGACTTGGCTCGGCCGGGCGCCGGGGCCGGGGCCGCTCCCTCGGCCGGCGGCCGGCGCCAGCGGTGGTTGGTGAGCGGCCGACACGGTGCTGGGAACGGGGCTGGGGCGGTCGGCAGTCGGTGCGTGGCCGCCACACGGCGGCCGGGCGGCCGGCGCAGGTGATGACGTCCGGCGCCGGCTGGCGGTCGGACAAGGGGTCGGCCGGCCGGACGCCGGCAGGAACGGATGGTGCCACGGACCAGTTGGGTGCGTGGCACAGCTGGAGCGTTACGTGTAGTAGCCAAATATGATTTGAAAATGATAGGAACCTATTTTTATAAATTCATTCGGGGCTATTATGCTTTTTAAGGTGCACAATGACTCCGCAGTTGACGCGCTCCCAAACCCCAGCATGCAAGCAAATTGCGCTACGCGGGACATTGCGAAGTGTGAAAGTTCAATCGTGTTCATTCAATTTGGCCAATAGTTCCTTTCAGTCACAGCGTTTCTCGTTTCAGTTCAGAACATCTGCAAGGATGCCTCGCGCGAAGGCCGACAAGCCGCGTGGACGCATGTCGTCCTACGCGTACTTCGTGCAGACCTGCCGGGAAGAGCACCGCAAGAAGCACCCTAATGAAGCTATTGCTTTCGCAGCGTTCTCCAAGAAGTGCTCTGAACGCTGGAAGGTACGTCTCGTTTTCAAACATTTCAAACGCCCGTTCACAAAATCCGATTTTTCTCAATAAACAAGCACTCTTGCTTGTTTATTGAGGGATATCTCGGCTCATTAAACAAGCACTCTGGGTTGACGAAATGAATATTTAGATGTGCGGTGAATATTAAAGTAACGCTAGGGATCTCTGGCTGAATTGACATTTTGCTGTTCTTTGGAAGTTTCACATGGACAACAATGCTTAAGCTGATCTTCGTTTTATTTTAATGCAATAACGCCCAAATTTCGCACTTATCGCCTAATCGGTTTCATTTCGATTTCAAAGTAGTTTCAAACAGCATTCTGTTCGAGATAAAAACAGTACCTTCCTGTCATAGAGAAATGGAACTAACAGCTCCAGCGGTGCACAAACCGCTTTCGTGCGTTTCGCTTAAATCTGCGTACGGACGGAACATGATCAAGCGGCTACCGCCCTTTGCAATCTTATCTATATTATGATTTATAATATTGGTTAATTATAAGTGATCGTTGTCCACTGTAGAGATCAATTATTATCTATTTACCGAATTCTGTGCTGTTCGACAGGTGATGAGCGACAAGGAGAAGAAGCGCTTTGTGGACATGGCCGACAAGGACAAGTCTCGCTACGAGGCAGAGATGAAGACCTACGTCCCTCCCCCTGGCGGTGGCAAGAAGGGCAAGGGCAAGCGCAGGCCCAAGGACCCGAACGCTCCCAAGCGTGCCCTCTCGGCTTTCTTCTGGTTCTGCAACGACGAGCGGCCGGCGCTGAGGGCGGCGAATCCCGACTCGACGGTCGGCGACATCGCCAAATCCCTGGGCAAGAAGTGGGCTGAGGTGGACGAGTCCGTGAAGGCCAAATACGAAGCCATGGCTGACAAGGACAAGGCGCGGTACGCCCGGGTAAGTCATCGCAGGCGTACCTACCGTTTAGCTAACCGCTACCGGTCAGTGTAGCTGGATGGTCGAGAGCTCGGCTAAATTGTAATGCTCGAATGTTACTTATAGCTTTTACTGCTTAATGGTTGGTTCAAATGCGATGTCTAGTGATGTCCTGGACGTTGCACGTTAATATTCGCTCAGTATCTAACTTAATTGGATGGCCGACTTATCAATAAAACCGATTAAATTAAGGCCAAGCATTTTCTAGCGATGCTTTATCGTAACCGCTCAGTTCCTCCCGAGATTCGTGGTAACACGGTTTGATAACCTTTTCAGGAGATGGCTGCGTACAAGAGTGGTCTTGCCAGCAACGCTGCGGAAGATGACGAGGAAGACGAGGATGATGACGATGAGGAGGACGACGAGTAAAGCGGAGTGCGCGACGTGCTCCTGCGTGTGCGCCTCTGGTGCACGCGTGCGTGTACAAACACTAGACAGTTGTTCTGGAGGGTAGTGGGTCGGTACAGTGATCAGCTGAAGACTGGAGGGGGCGGGAGGGGTGACAGCACCGTCATCATCGCCGTCCGTCCACCCGGAACGGCCGGCCCATCGATCGGGCCTATTTATTTAGCGAGACCGCCTTCATCTGCGCCGTCCGCCACAGCGCGACAAGGGACGCTCATCGCGCTAATAAAGCAGTCTTATTGCGGCTGCTCATCATCACATTTTATCATCAGTTAGTTTTGACATGCATAGCTAGTTTCGCCGGTTCTCATCAAAATAAACATCTAAAAAACGTGTTTTGTCTGGATGCGTGGCCGTGTGCCTGTGTTCCTGAATTGCTGTTAGAGGTAGCGCCGGCACCGACTGGTGCATGGCCATCAGTCGTCGGCACGTGTCTGGCGTCGCGCAAATCTACGGGACGGATTCATGCCCGCGATTTACCGTTGACTGGTTGCTTACGAGAGTCTTAAATACCTACATTTAACGAAGAAATTCAGTAGGCATTTACTTCATGTCAGAGTAGCTAAAAACATTCCGACTTCGGAACCGACATTGATTCCGGAGTTCTGATATTCTGTCAGGGCATTGAGCTGCCGGCCAATACATTTCAAGGCAGTATTCCATTTTTCAGACTTTTTGGTGGCTAATCACACCTAACGGGGGAAATACTTTTATCCCTAAAATATGAATGACCGACTTTACATCATCTCTGAAAACAGTTTCATGTATTCCCGACAGCCATTTTACATGTCACTTGACAGTTGATGCACCCACATCCTTTTGTTTCACACCCTGTCAAGATTCTGACATGAAATTCTGGTTTAACAGTTGGCATACAAATTGGGATTACCTACACCATTTTGCAAATATACTTCGGTTATTCATTTCCTTTTTTCTCATCCTAGGATTTTTTTTCTTCATCGGCACACCCAACCAAAATCCAATTTTAGAACACTGTTTCAAGATGTTGCTCCAGAGTTACCAACGAGACGGTTTGGTCTATTGAAAAGCAAGTTTATGACTTGTGAGCTCTTTCCCGAGGTCATGTCAGGCCATAAAATCTCAAATCAAAAGTTGCAACGGGCCCCAATAATTCCCCGCGTTTGGGCCGTAACCTTGGCCTCGAAAATCTCCCAGTCCCAATGACATGGGAATTTAAAATTGGGTAACAGCGGCTTCATGTAGTCATGAGCAGATCATTTTTTTTTCGCGAAGCTCCAGCAGCCAGCTCATAGGCCGAGATGCTGGGATCCCGATCGACTCCCCCAGCCCCCTGCGTCAGCGATAGTGAATAGGTATGCCCTGTGGGTATGCCAACACGGACGACGGTAAAAAAAAGAGGGCAGCTGCTTTTCCGTGATTGTTAACGGGATAATAAGCACAGAGCAGCTACTTAAATGTTGACATCCACCATCTCCTAAATTCATGCTCACCGTGACTTGGGCTTGGGCTATAGCCTTTAAAGTTTGAACCATGCAGCGAAACAGTCGTTACTCGTTATGTCTGTCCCATCAATAGAGCCAGCCATGGTAAAAAGATGAGCCTTCTCAGAGGGTAATTCATTCATCCCCGCCGAGGGGCTCCATTACCCCCAAATGGGACATGCCCCACCATTCGCCGACACCTGCTACAGCGTACTTCCATAAAAGTATTGTCGAAAAACTGTTGACTACCTGTCGTGACCAAATATGACCTGGGGCCGATTGGGGTCAAGGGCGGCCAACGGGTGCAATTAACGATTTGATATCATATATTTATTGCACGATGCAGGGGCTCCGCCACGGTTTTGGAATGGGGGGGGGGGGGTCCAACCCAAAACACAACACCTCGCTGGCGGATCCAGGGAGGGCATTTTGGGCGAATTCACCCCCCACTCCCTGCAGCTCACGAAATCGATGAAAAATTCCCTTTTTCTAGAGTTCAAAGAAAGCTTAACAAATTTATCGGGAGAATTTTGCTTAAAAAAAAGGTTAATTTGCACAAGGAATCGAAAACCGAGAAGCGGAGCCCATTGACACCGACATGGTGGCCTCTCAAAACGTCATTGAGGAATCGAGGCCGCTGTTGCGCGCTCCAAGGGCGGTGTTAGCCATCAGACAGCGCATTACGCTCTCAGTGACCGGCATGAGCTTGGGATTCAGGGACCTTCATAGTCGCTCAGATGTCTATGTAGGCTCTTAGGCCAGTGTCGGGTCCTCAAAGGCCGTAGTTAGAGGAAAGCGCAGGGCTTTAGGAGTAGTAGCAGATTATTGCAGATTAGAACGGTGAGGCTGCTTAGACTTCATAGTATGGTGCTCGAAAGACCGGCTTGGAACCCCCTCCCCCCAACACTATCGGGTGACCTCACATGGAAAGAGGATTCTCAGATCGATTTGAAGCTTTTTGGGACAGGTACTGTATCTAGGTGTCTTGCAAGCTGGACCCCTCTGACGAAATTATAGCCCAATTCTAGCATGCTTAGCAATTCTACCAATCTTAAACGCATTCATAGTAATTAAATGGTAGAATAATGACACTCCCGTACACATAGTTAGGTCGGCGAGTGTTGAGCAATTTGTGTGTCACAACATTTTAAGGGTTCCCTACATTTCTAGATATTAAATTCCTTAGCTTTGCGACTGTTAACACATCCTAAATTATTCAACACATTCTGTGAATGATTTTATCAGTCATTCTTACGCGAAAACAAGCTTATAGGTATTCGGAATATTGGGGGGGGGGGGTACTGTACCCCCAGGTAAATTATTGTGGGGGGGGTCCAGACCCCCGCGTACCCCCCCCCCCCCCCTGTGGCAGAGCCCCTGGCACGATGACTTTCCTCAAAAATGGTAATTCAATTTTCTTCTACTGACTTATGCTAGAGGGGTTGCAAAATTGACTTGGGAGCCAGTTGCTCAAACAGAAATATCGCTCGTCACTGGGTTCGAATACTTTTAGTCCTGACACTGCAACATGATAGTTTCAAGTAACCTGACCTACCAGTAACCTGACGGTTTCGACCACACGAAATGAAGAAAAAACGGTGGTACAATTCCGGTGATAAAGCTTGAGAGGGGAAGTCGTAGCTGGTAGCAACACATTTCTCGGCACACCTTTTAATGCTCCTCTTCTGCAGCATTTCAGTCTTTCAAGGTTTCAAGGTTGAGTCAAGTGCACTATCCTCTGACGTGTTTGGGATGACTTGTTTAGAAAGATGCAGTTCAATTTTCTTTTATTGCCATATTGGAGAGATCCCAATAATTGGCCTGACCTCAGTGTCATCGATACAATCCAATATACATTTTGTGTACGTTACCCGTGCCAAATGCTTCTCACACCAATCGTTTCACAGAACTATAGCTATGGTCAACTTTTCAATTTTCCGTCAGTACGTTAGTCATTTCGAGGACACATTTCACACCAATCCCCGGACCCATCCGGCTGGTTGTTGCCGACATATCCCCTCACTAGCCTTACAAGTATCACGCTGGTATCGTGATTTCTGAAATGCGCCCGTACTGTGGAGTGCGTATTGTGGTTCCATCCACTCCTGATCTCATCTGACCTGAGCTCATGTCCCTACTCGCGTTACGCTTCCACTCAGCCGTCGGCCTCCCTTTCAAACCCACCTCTGTCAGCGTAACCGGACACCTATCCCAGCCCAGACATTCCTTCCATAAAGAACAGGCGATTTGTTGTTTATTGACTGATCGAAGTGAACATTTACTTAGCGGCGGCGGCAGCCTTCACCTGACGCTTGGGCTGGGTGCCCTCGCGGAAGCCGAACCTGAAACAAGAAAAAGGCAAATTACCACACGTCGGACACCATACCTACACAGTACACAACAGGAGCGTTACCCTTCAGAGGATTTCGAACTCCCGCAAATGCAAATAAGACGCAGGGAAACAGGGCCAATAGGACGGTTGAATGCATCAAAATTACACGAAGGCGATTGCGCTTGCACTCACTAATACCCAGGGCCCAGCGCGTGATGATATAGTGCATACCAATGATCATATAATCAAAATCACTTCGCATGCATTCAATCTCAGGATCTCGGCTTTGGCAATTCCAGCCGCGTTTTCACGAGCAACGCGTCAACTGGAGGGGAGAGTGGGGCACATTCGTGCGAAAAATGGATAAATCCATATATCTGTTCTTTGGTTGGTGCAAGGGTAAAACTGTTGATTGTAGCATTGAAAGGAACTGTTGCAGATATTTTCCCTCTTTAAAAGTTTTCCTCTAAAATTATCGCGTCTACTAGGAAAAATGACTTTTAATAACTCTGAACGTTTGCACAAAACTGCCCCAGGTATGGGGCACTTCCGTGCACCCTGCAAAGTTCGAGGAATTACCGAGCATTACCAGGAATTTACCAAAAGAAATTGGCAGGGGGCCATTTCACTAGATTCCCTTCGACAATAATGCATTGCACAACTGTAAGAAAGAATTGGCTGGCAACGAGAATGTGCCAACTGCCGGCCATCGACCTGCCTCCGTGACCTCGCCGAGGTCGCGTGAATTACTTGTCACGACGTCGCAAGCAGCCAAAACTGAGTCAAGCGAGCGTCATGAGTGAAACCTACTACAAAGTCATAAATCGCAAAAACGAAAAAAATATGCACGAATGTGCCCATAGGCAGTGCGTGCACGAACCTGTCCCACAACGGTAATTGTAATATACGAGTATTTCAAAATTTCTTGTTGAAAAATGACACTTTTTCAACAAACAAGTTTGCAGCAGTTCCGTGAATAAAGTGAGCTTCTTCGCCAATTTAAAAAAGCTGAACCACATTTCCGAGTCAGGATCACGAAAATGGATGTTATAGAAAAAGTTTGGAAATTGCACGAATAATACAACTTTGCGTTTTTATCAAGCATGATAGCAGATACATTGTTTTCTACAGTGAACGAAGGGCGACAATGATGGACATTTTCATAATTTACCTCGAGCTCGGGCAGTCATTCGTGTTCCCATAAACTGCTGAAAACGAATGTGCCCCATGCACGAAAGTGCCCCACTCTCTCCTACAGTGGGTTTTGAAGATGAGAAATGTGGCCAATGGATTGAACGTGATAGGAAGAACCATTCCATTCACCCAGTCCGTTTCTAAGCACCAGTCGACAAAGGCAGATGAGGTTTTTCGATGATTAGCAGCGATACCAAGTGCAACCACCGGATGCCGGATGGTGGTGAATAGAGGGAGGAGGGGGGGGGGTCAGTAGGGGGCTAAACATCCCTCGTTCACGGTGATCCCTCCTCCTACTGAGTTTGCAGAAGCAATACTGTTCTAGCATTTATTAATGGCGGAAG